GGACCATCGCGCCTTGGTCTTCAAGGAGGTTTTCACGAAGGACAGATACCGGGGGAAGCAGTTCGTATGGAACACGTGGCAAACGCTCTGCCGAGCGCCCATCTACCAGTGCGATGACCAGGGCTGGGCGTCTGCCTCAGCCTGACGGACGACCAGCGCATCCCGCAGCTCATGGACGGGATCTTCGGCGCCATCGACGAGGACCATCGCGCCTTGGTCTTCAAGGAGGTTTTCACGAAGGACAGATACCGGGGGAAGCAGTTCGTATGGAACACGTGGCAAACGCTCTGCCGAGCGCCCATCTACCAGTGCGATGACCAGGGCTGCCACAGCTGCGCGGAAATGGACGTCAACAGGAACTACTGCCTAGAAAAGGTGAAAGACGCACCTAAGGCAGATGTCACGGGAAAGAGGTAAGGTGGGAGGAGAACGTCAGCTGAGATGCAACCAATCAACAACCGCCCCATCCACCATCAACCCCGCTGTCAGTCTGTTAATCAACCCAGCCAGCCAACCGTCTGCCAGACCACTCATGCATCAACCCGTCCATCTGTCAACCCACTTGTCTGTTGACTCATTCATCTCTCAACACTTCTGTCCATCAATCCTTCAACCTGCCCAGTCACTAGTCTGTCCATGAACCCATGTGCCAATCCAGCCAGCCATCTTCCAACCCACTCGTCCATCAACCTGTCCATCTGCCATCCCATCTGTCCATCCATCCTTCAACCTGCTCAGTCACCTGATTGTCCATGCTCCTATCCCTATCTATCTACCCACCTGCCCATCCCTCAGGTATGTGGGCACTGGGTTTGACCTGTGATCACCCCTCCTTCTTTGTCTGTATCTCATTTGAAGGGTGCCCACACCCAGGTATCTGGGGCCTGGGTTCCCCCTGAATCTCTCCCCTGCCCCCCACTTTGCAGTACAGCAGATGTAGTACTCAGGGCATGGTGGGGGGTGGGGGGTGATTCCAGTCCAGGGCATGGCATACATGCAGGATGGGGGAGGAGGATACACGAGGGCAGCCCCTAGGGTCAGTGTTCGGGGTCAGATTTAGCCAACTCTGTGCACGACAAATCCAAGCTTTGCTCTTTCTCTGCTGTGTGATCCGCACCAATAAAGTTTCAAAGCATCCCCTGGCTTCATACCCCTGCCTGTGAGTCTGTCTCCTTCCTCCTAGGAGATGCGGCTCCCCTGAGTCACTCCTCTGCAGGAAGTGTCAGCCCCCCAGTCCAGACTTTGGCCTCTCATGCCCCTTAAACCTGCCCCACAGGGCCCCAAAGGGGGCTCCTAATCCCAGATCCTCACAACCTGCACCCTGGAAACCCGCAGTGCATGTAATGGGTTGAGTGTTCCCCACAGCCCCATGCCAGACCTGCTTCCCCTCTCCCCACCCCACTGCGACAAGCCCTGTTCCTCCCCCTTCCCCATGCCATTCCCAAGGGACAGAGAACTTGGAGTTCCACTTCTGACTCTGGGACAGGAGTGGGGTCTAGTGGTCGGATGAGGGTAGGGCCGGGTACTTATAGGGTTTTTTCCTCAGGAGCCTCCCTGTTCACTCTCCCATCTGCTTCAGAAACATCTCCCCATTTTCCCTTCCTGCGGGCTCCCTTCTGGGACTCATCATTTGTTTGGTCAGGTCACCGATCACATTTCTCTCCACCAGAGAGATCAGGGCTCCTGTGTCCCTCCATCCTATGCCCTGCTGCTTATGTACACCAGAAATAAATTCCATCTCCCTCTGCCCCCCACTCAGGGACAGCCCCCAACACTCAACAGGGGAACCGTAGGGAGCTCCTGTCTCAGGGGAAATCCCACGGCCATGGGGCTTCCTTTATTTTAGCTCAGGGCACTGATTTCTTGGGTGCTCTGCAGATTTTAAGTGAAACCAGCATAACAGGGTCTCTGGGGTCAGTGCAAAGAGGGTCAAATCAGGGTGAACTGCTTAGAACCAGGGCTACTTATAGACCAAGACTGTGGTTCCTCCACTATAAAGCACCAAACCAGTCACACAGAACACTTCTGTTTTCCACATTGGCCAGCAAGAAGTCACACAAGGAAATCCACTTAGACACACCAGCTTCTCCTGTGCCACAACCAGCATCGCACCTTACCCAGGTGAAAGGTTATGAAAACCAATCTCAGCAAATCCAAACAGTTTCTCTTGATCCTAAAGGACCAGCTACATTTCCAGCTCAGTTTAGACCTCCAGTCTTACACAAAAGAGCACGCTGGGCCAGTCCTTTAGAATCTAACATCTAAAGGGTTATTAATAAAGAAAAAAGGAAAGGTTGGAAGTAAAATTGTTAAAGGAAACAAAGGACATACACCAGTTGCAAAGTTCTGGTGCAGGCTTGTTGCAAAGATGGAATGACTGAATCTACTGTCCTCAAACAATTCTCTGGAATCTGTCCGCTGTTAGGAGGGGTCCTTCCAAGCTTGGTTCATAGCAAAGATGCCCCATGAAGTGATGAGCTAGAATGAAAACAAAGATGGAGCAACACCCGGGCCCCTCTTTATACCCTTGCCCATGGGGAGGGAATTCCATTGTTCTTGCATGAAAGGCAGCCCCAGGAGTTTGTCACACGAGCAAGTTGCCTGTCCAGGCATGACTTGTGAGGCAGCAGCCATTGCTCATGTGCTGGTCTGAGCATTCACAGTAAAGCTCCTCCAATATGGATTGGCACCACTTAAGGTGCATTGTCAGTCAAGAGCTGCGATTCACTTGAGTAGTGACCCTTTCCCAACCAGGGGGCAAAGCCTCCTCTTACTGTCTCCCAGAAGCAAACATTTCAAGTACAAGCACAGAGCCAAATCTCATGACTTCAAATACAAAAGTGATACCTGCACATGAATAGTATAAACAGAATCAGCGAACTGGAACCTGTCTATGGCTATCTCTTGGCCCCCTTTGCACAAGCTTTGGGTGCTTATAACACTGGTTGCAACAATATTTTGCATGGCCATATCATAGCCCAACAATGTGCTATTCACTCCTTCCTCAAGCAACCAATGGAGAAGGATTTCAGAAGTGTTTTCTCAATGGATAACTCAAGTATTCACTGGTCAGCTGTTGCAAGTTGGTGCCCAGAAATCTCTGGCATCTCCCCGCCCCAGTGTGGCCCATTGGCTAGATAGCTGAGACCCCAGACTTGGTTAGTTGGTCTGTCAGACAGTGTAAGTCAGCAACACAGGAGGGGATGTGTTGTTAGAGAAACCTGGACATTTCTAGCCATTTTTCCCACACCACATTTTTTGTCATCAAATTGTCATTTGGCAGCTTCAGAAAACTGAGGCACACAAGTTACCATGATCACATCAAAATGCTGGGAAACCACATGTACCTAAAAATAGTATGCTTCGAATGCCTGGTTTGTGAATTATTCTATAGGCAGATATGGGCCATATAATGATGGGATCTTTACACACACACACATACACACACGCACACATTCCTCTACTTTTCAACAACTTATCAAAAGTTTTCCAGACCCTCAAATTGCACAATCAGCTCACCAACTGGTTTCTGTCCCTGACAGATCTAAAATTGGTGCCTGGAGTTAGTTTTATTAGAACTCAATCAGCAACTCACCTTTTTGGCCACTGATCGAATGCACACGTGTTGCATACAACCGTAGCACTGCGGTAACTGCCCCTGTGCCTCATCCAGCCTGAGTCCAGCCCCTGGTTACATTTTGCTTTTATGAAGTTTGTTCATGGCACTGATTAGACATCAGCCCTTCTGTTGCAGAGGATGGGAAATACGATCCCAGGGGTGATGCCTGGATGTAGGTGCTTTGGGGAGGTCCCCTCCTGTCTGGGTGCCTCAGTTTACACCTCCCTAAAGTGGGTTCTATGACACTTGTGTGCGTCATGAGGGTCTTAACAGCCAGCCCACGTCTGAAAGCAACTGTGAAAATGACCCCACCAGACTGTGCACAGAGCCAGTGCCCACAGGTGACTGACGTGATAGGGAACTGCAACTATACAGCAACTGGGAGGCCTGACAAAACTTGTGTAGAGGGACCTGTGCTAGCAGGGAGGTGTCACCAACACTGGGTGAAGAGAGCAAATTCTTCCAGCAAGACTCATGGGGGAAGAGAGAGCAAGACCATGGCCCAGCCAGGGCGGGCCAGGCCATCTGGCTAGAGAAGGCCCCGTGTTTCCTATCACAAGCCTTAAATGGCATCAGAAAGGCCCCAGCCGGCTCCAGCCCAGATCAGGGAGGACAAGGAGGGAGGGGAACCTGTCAGGTTAGGATCAGTGGGCAGGTCTGTGCAACATGTCTGTGTATCCGTGCCTCTCAGGTGGAGGAAGGGTGGGGGATGAAAAGAAATCCCAGAGCCCCCCAAGAGCTATGTTGAAGCTTAGAGGAGTCTGAGGGGTCTCTCCCTGTTGTAGTGTCTGGGACCTACAGGGGTTCATGCCTGCTGCACCTTGTCTGGCTAAGGAATCGGGGGCACTCACCCAGGGCCCTGAAGTGGTGGGGAGAGAAGCAGGTCTCTGCTGACACAGGCTGGCCCCAGTTGTACTTTGACTATTCTCTGTTCAGTTCTTGCTTCACTGGAGCCTGGCTGGAGTTCTGGGGAACTCTTCCCTGGTTGTGCAATGAGTCCACAGAGTCAAGGGGTTTTAGTGCCTGGTGCCCTACCGTACAAAGCCCAGCGGGGGCCAGGCGATGTTTGCAGAGGCTGACAGAGGAGCTGTTAGGGCAATGGCCAGGGAGGTAAACCCAGGGTGCCTGGATTCTGTAGAACGCTATCTGCTTGGGGGATCAGACCAAAGACAACGGAGAATTGGCTCGTGCCCAGTAATCGCCTGGCTTTGCTGAGTGATTATTCCTGGTCAGTCCTCCCAGCCCCCACCACTCCCATGCAGCAGCCAGCCAGACCTGGTGCCAGTGGGTGTGGAGTATGGAGCGAGGAGCCTGCCGTGGGGGTGGGGAATGGGGCTATAAAGGGCGGGGTTGGGAGCTGGCAGCCCAGGATTAGGGATCTGGCAGGAACCTCTCTCAGTGCGTGACGGCCCCTCTAGCTCCTGCACCATGGAAACCCTGGTGAGTCCCCCCTGCTCCGTCTTCTGCCCCGTGTAAATCCGGGGGGGCTCCCTACCCCCCTCCTCCTCCTGCCCCATGGTAATAACACCTGGAACTCCCTCCTGCCCCAGGGTCACCCTGCCCCCTCTCCTCTCGGTAGCACAGCGGGGCTGGGGGCTGGGAGTCGGGGGATCTGGGTTTGTGCCCAGGACTCAGAGGCGCTGATGCTGTGGGGTCTGTGCAGGTCCCAGGACGGAGGCTCCGGGCCAGGCTCCTGCTGCTGCCCCTTCTCCTCTGCTTCGGGCCAGACACGGCCGGGAGCATCAGCCTGGACACGCTCAAACAAATTGTGGATTATGTTCATCCTAAGTGAGTGACCGGCCTGGGGGGAGGCGTCTTGGTTCAGCCCCATTCCCCTGGCTGCAAAGTGAGCAGAAGGGACCTCTCGTGTTTTCTGGGGTTGGATGGTTACCTGGAGCCACTGCCCAGAAAAGGGGCATCTGGGGATGCAGGGGGAGATAGGGCCTGAGCTGGGAAGCGTGATTCTGGGGGTGCAGAGGGAGATGAAGCCCCAAGATGAGAGGGGTGATTTGGGGGGGGTTCAGGGGCACCTCGATCCCCAGCTGGGAGGGATGATTCCACTGGTGCAGGGGGAGCTGGTCCCCAGAGCTGGGAGGGGACATTCTGGGGGTGCAGGGAGAGGCAGAGCACAGAAGTTTTAGGCAATGAGTCTTGCAGTGCAGGAAATGGGAGGGAATGATTCTGGGGGATGAATGTTTGGGGTCCCTGCTGGCGTCCATTCAGTTTGTGCACCTTAATCCTGTGTGATTCCCCCAGGCTCACACTCCCCCTGTCCCCTCTTGCCCAGGTATAAACCCGAGAAGACTGATCAGTACGCCGTGGCCATCACCTTGCCGCGGTCCATGTGCCAAAGCGCCAGCCCAAGTGACCTGCAGGAGCACCTGCAGGTTGACCTGGATGCCATGAAATTGAAGCTGAAGGACGCATTTCTGTATGAGGGACGCCACATTGTCGCTGCCAAACCCACCAGACCCACGAAACCCGACCAGAGAGACCAATATTCCCAGCACGCTGAGTGGCAGATGTTCAGCCTGGATCAGAACAGGGTCAGCCCGGTCTCCCGCCTCCTGGACAAGACTCGGGAACAGGTTGCATGTCAGGAGACTGAAGCCTTAGAGGAAAACTTCGGGAGCAACCGCTACACAGTTTGGTTCCCAAACAACAAATGCACCTGGAACGGCTGCTTCGTCTTCTTCTCCTTTTTTTCTCCCTGCCTGCGCACCTGCCTCAGCCTGAAGAGCGACCACCGCATCCCGCAGCTCATGGATGGGATCTTTGGCGCCATACATGAAGAGCACCGGGCCTTGGCCTTCAAGGAGGTTTTCAAACAGGACAGATCTAAGGGGAAACAGTTTACGTGGAACTCGTGGCAAACACTCTGCCGAGTGCCCATGTACCTGTGCGATGACCAGGGCTGTCACAGCTGCGCGGAGAAGGACGTCAACAAGAATTTATGCCTAGAACAGGTGAAAGACCCACCTAAGCCAAATCTTGCAGGAAAGCGCTAAGTTGGCAGGAGAATGTGACCCCAGAGACAACCAGTCAACAATCACCCCATCCACCCCTCAACCCAGCCACCCACCTCTTCTCCAACCCAGCCAGCCAGCCCACTCATCTGTCAACCCGTCCATCTGTCCATCCATTCTTCAAGCCATCATCTCTCCACAAATCCTTCCATCCTTCCCCTCATCTTTCCATCCATGAACCCATTCATCCTTAACCCGTCCATCTCTCCGTCCATCCATCCGTCCATCCACGAATCCTTCCATCCATCAGCCCATCTCTCCATCCATGAACCCATTCATCCTTAACCCGTCCATCTCTCCGTCCATCCATCTGTCCATCCACGAATTCTTCCATCCATCAGCCCACTCATCCATCAGCTCATCTATCAGCCCATCTGTCCATGCCTCTCACATATCTCTCCTAGGGTATGTCTACACTACAGCACTAATTCAAACTAACTTCATTCGGATTAGTTAATTCAAACTAAGCTAATTCGAACTAGTGCATCTAGACCTAAAAACTAGTTCATCTGTCCATGCCTCTCACATATCTCTCCTAGGGTATGTCTACACTACAGCACTAATTCAAACTAACTTCATTCGGATTAGTTAATTCAAACTAAGCTAATTCGAACTAGTGCATCTAGACCTAAAAACTAGTTTGAATTAGCGTTTTGCTAATTCGAACTAGCATGTCCACATTGAGTGGACCCTGAACCGAGGTTAAGGCTGGCCGGAAGCAGTGCCGGCAGGGCATCAGGTTAGGACTTAGAGCGTGGAGATGCTGTCTCAGGCTAGCCGAGGGCTGTGCTTAAAGGGACCCGACACCCACCCCGGACAGACAGTTCTCAGGGGTTCCCCGCTTGCAAAGCAGTTGGAGTGCCCTGAGTGCTCACACTCGGCACATCACAGCACTTGGTCATCAGTCCGGCTGCACTTGCCGCAGGCTGCCCTCCGGGGGGGGGGAGGGGAGGGTCAATCAAGGGGCTTCAGGAGAGCTTCCACCCCGAGAAGCCCACAGAGCCACCCCAGTCCTCCCCATCGGGGGCTAGTACCCCATTCCTC